TAGTTTTTGTGTACATGTCTATTCCAAATTTCTAGCAATTTTCTACTTTCAGGAAACAAGTAATGCAATTCAGAGTTCAAACAGGCAAAGCAAACCATTGCTTTCATTTTTTTTTAAAGTTCCCTCAATTTTATTTTGTTTTTATAATATTTCATAGCCTGACAGTTGGAAAGTTTTTCTTTCACTGCATTTTTTTTTGGAAGACACACACACACACACAATAAATAAATTATTTTCAATATAATTTCAATCAGATTTTAATATTGGTGGTTTCTTATTGCACTTCCCGACTTTATTGTATTTTTGTATTTTTCAGTGTTGCTATAATATTTCATAGCCTGACAGTTGGAAAGTTTTTCTTTCAAAATAAATAAATAAATACATAAAATAATATAATATAATAAGAACATAAAATAAAATAATTTAGTATTTTGTGGGAGGCTATCTATCTTGACAAATCATGTGCTCTTGCTCCTGAAAGATGGACTCGACCTCTGCCTGCTGGGATGGGGTGTTTTTAAGGTCAGTGTGTGTCTCCCTGTGTGTGTGTGTGTGTGTACCTGGTATTTATCACGTTATGGGGACCAAATGTCCCCACAAGGATAGTAATACTAGTAAATTTTGACCTTGTGGGGACATTTTTGAGGTCCCCATGAGGAAACAAGCTTATAAATCATACAGAATGAGTTTTTTTGAGAAAGTAAAAATGCACAAAGTTTCCTGTAAGGGGTAGGTTGGTTGGTGTAGGGCAATAGCACATACAGTTTGTACAGTATAAAAACCATTACGCCTATTGAATGTCCCCATAAAACATGGAAACACACCATGTGTGTGTGTGTGTGTGTGTGTGTGTGTGTGTGTGTGTGTGTGAAGTCTTGGTTTTAATGTGTGTAAAGACCAAACAACACAAGCTCCATATGAGAATCCTTCCTGTGCAGAGAAATTCAACAAACAGCATTTGCAATTTTTCACGCAGCATGTCTCTACCTTTAGACTGGCCACTTGTTGCTTGGGCTTTGATACATAGGATGTGTATAATTCTATTCTAATATGCATGTTTATATGAAATCAGTGTCAAATTTTCAAAATGACACCTTAAGGCATCTAAATGTCTTCCTCGAGCGTGTGTGTGTGTCGGTACAGCGGGTGGAGTCAGTAACTCACGTCGCTTAGCAGAGGGATTATTTGAGCAGGCAGGTTAATCCAAGTAATGACACCTAATCCCTAATAAAGCAAACGTTACGACATTCAGACACACAACCAGCCACAGACATACACCCATCCAGACTGTGCTGCGTCTGTGATTTCATTACGAGTCAATGAGCAAAATGACCCCAACATCGGTGTTTTCATGCATGCAATGCATGCACTCTTGTCTATAGGTATCAGTCTCCATGGATACCAGGTGGCTCCGAATAAGAATACAACTCATTAGCATATTCAAACTGAGGGAATAAAGTGCAGGGGACAATGTGAGTCACCAGGGAGAATGAAAAGACATACACACAGAATGTATGACGCCGGTGAGGCACATTTTTGCAAACGCTATAAAGCAATAAATAAGTGTATCTGCATATGTACACGTCAACTCTCGCACACACACACTGGCACTGGGGTGAAAAGCTGTTGGTCAGTCCATCTCGTCCATTAGCTACATGCTGGGTTCTAATCCTAATTGACATGAAAAAAGCTCAGAGGATGTGTAGTCACAGACACAGTTGGCGCAAATGGATGTTTAATAAGGATGGGCAGCATCTATGACAGCTGCAGTATATCAGAGAAACATAAAACACACACTAAAACGCCATGACAGGCCCAGTATATCAAAGAAGAATTGAGATAAATGGACACACACATGAGAAAGGTCAATGAGTGGACACACATATGGCTCACACACTTGGCTCGCACACATATGCACTTCATTACAGACACAAACACACACTTACACTCCAAGAGGTCAACTAAGGCACACTCACACACTCATTCATCCCTAAACCTCCCCCTACACACTTTATTAAGTGACTTCATTCCAGTGTTGTTTTAGTATTATTCTTGTAATAAAGTTTGTATTCATATATTTTTTATTTATTTAAATGATTAAATAAAACAAAAAAATTATTACATTAAATTTTAAGCTTTTATTTTATATTTAAAATTAATTTTTTTAGTAATTTATAGCTATTTAGGATAATTCTTTTCATTTCTATTATTAGATCTATCTATCTGTGTAAATAGTTTTATGTAGTTTTATTTAAATATAAACTATAATTGTACTACATGATTTTTTAAGCTTTTATTATTTTTAAACATGTTCAGTTTTCATTTGAAGTTTATTTTTTAGCCATTTTGCTGTGTGCTTTTTTGTCATTTTTACAAGTTTAGTTATGTATATTACTATTTAGGTATAATTTATTTTTAATTCAGTTTTAGTTTTTATGTATTTCTATTTATCAGTAATTTTAGTACTTCAAATTGAACTTAATTCAGTTGGTTGCTAAGGCAACTATTTTTTTGTTTAATTTAAGTGTTTCATATTTTATTTCAGATTTATTTGAGTTAACAAAAATGTTTTAAACATTTTATTTTTGGTTTTAGTTAATGATAATAACCCTGCTTCATTCACATAAATACTCCTACAAATGATCCTATATTTACTGTCATTTGTTTGCTTGATGGAGCTGCTATGTTATTTGCATATTATACTAGTATTACGCATTGTCTTGCACAGTCAAGTCGTTCACAACCCCGGCTCATTATAACACACATGCACACAGGGACACATGGGGTATCTGTAAATCTAATAACATTACCATATTGGACCCTCAACACACTGGGGTATCTGTCCAGTTTAGTATCACATCACTGAACAATAGCATGCACACTAAGAAAAGCCATTCTGAGCTAAAACTCCCTCTTTCTGTCCATCAGAAAGTGGCTCTTCCATTATTAAGCCTGTTTTGGGGTAAACAGTCTTTGCAAGTTTGTCTCCAACACTTTAGATTCACTGCACTTGTACTTGAGCTCAAGGGAGCCAATGTAGACATCATTCAATGCAATGTTTACATGCAAATGATACACTGGGGGTGTTCCTGAATTAGCACTGGCTCAGGTTAACCCCTATATTTATCTTTGTGTGATGAATTATAATCCTAATGCTCTGCTATAATGATTTGTCTCTTCACTCCATTCCTTGATTTCTTCCCAGATGATTTACTAGCATTTTATGCCTCTGAAAGTCAAGTCGATGAGTATTAGACCATGCTAATCCATAATTTTGATGAAAAAGGTAAGACATTAGCTCTAACAGTCTTTGGCGAGTGTGTAAGTGTGTGTCAGGCTGGCTCTCCTGTGGTGAGGTTTTGTTCTAGGTAGTGAAGTACAATAGTAGCTCATTAGTAAAGAGAGAGCTCATAGATCCAACAGCTACACTATAACCAGCACTTCACAGCTCGTTCACACGCACGCGCACACACACTTAACTGACCAGGCCAGCCAATAATTCACACACCTCTTTGACCACTGCTAATCTCTAACCAAAAACAGACACAATCAACTGCATATTACGAGACACCAAATCTCAATTATCTATATTTATCCACACAGACAAAACCACAAATACACACACAGTGTGGTCCAAAAGTCTGAGATCACAAATCTGGGATTTTACTTTCAAATTAAACCTGAAAATAATCCAAATATACTGCTGTACACTTGTTGGTATGTTTGTATGTTTTTGTTGGCATCATATTTGTAAATGTAATGTAAAAATCTTTGCATACTGAATTAGTCTGAATCGTAATTTTTTTTTTTTTGAAAGCATAATTAAACAACTTTTCTTTCTTTAAATGTTTAAGAATGTGAGTGTAAAATATATTATTAAAATAAATATTATAAAAATATTTCAAATAATTTATTTATTTATTTATCACAAATCAAATGTAAGCTAATTTGGTTGAAAGGGAATAAAAACATTTGCCCTAAACATTTATTTTTTCATTCATTCATTCATTCATTCATTCATTCATTCATTCATTCATTCATCTATATTTAAGTCACTAATGATCTGTAAACAAATTTAGGCAAAGTAAAAATAATTTTTCCTTCCTTCCTTCTTTCTTTCTTTCTTTCTTTCTTTCTTTCTTTCTGTCTATCTATATATCTATCCGTCTATTTAAAAGTAAGATTACTTGGGTAAAAGGTCTTACGATTATTTGAGCAAATTATAAGACATTTCAAAATTCACCTAAATCGTTATGCAGATAAAATTATTAGTAATATAATGCAAAACAGAAGCATTTTGACTAGTAGACTCAGACTTTTGGACTCCATATGTCATCTGTAACCACTGTACAAAACAAATAATTTTTGCACACATAAAGTATCTCCAAAAAATTATTGTGTTTAGGGGGCTCCTTTCTGCCAGCTCTGTTACCTAATACATGTGGGGTCAATATGTGCAATGCTTGAACAATGTCTAAGAACTTGGTATTACAACCACTTCCTGTGTCTGTTTGCCTCTTAAGAAGAATCGCTTTATGTATCACCCAATTGTAAGTCGCTTTGGATAAAAGCGTCTGCAAAATGACTAAATGTAAATATAAATGTAAATGTCCCAAGTCCCCACCCAGTTTTTGGTCTTCCATACCCCTCCTTCTGTTGTGCCCTCTCCTCCCCCTTTCTCTTGTCTGTATAAAGAGGGGGTGAAGCTACATTGTCTCGACTGGAAATCTCATCAGGTCATCTGTCTATCCATCCATCCGAGGAGAGAGAAGAGAGAGTGAATATATCGCCATCTGAAACTTTGGAAAAGTTGGAAAGCCTGAGAACTGACTTGAGCTGCATGCGCATCCACTATCACGGCATCCTATACGAGCTCCGAGAAAAATACTGAGAGCGACAGAAACATAAAGGGATTTGTACAGTCCGTTACCTGCATATTTACAGAATCTGCTCTCGGAGACATTTGAGGAGACTCGGGCCGAACCTCACACAGCATCACCATGAGATTCTTCCATCCACTGTATCTCCTTCTGCTGCTGCTCACAATCCTGCACATCACCAGCGCCGAGAAACAAGGTACATAACCACAAGACCTTGTTTCGAGAGTACAGAAAATACGAATTAAGCGAGTTAAAACAGAGACAAAAAGGATGTGGTGCAAAATAAATCAGGTCTGTTGCGCGGTGTAGCCTAGCACTGGATTAAAATAGCTGCAACAAAACCTACATTAAGAAAAAGGAGTAGGCTAACAAGTGTAAGGATTTTTTATTTAATATATATATATATTTTTTTTTTTGTTACTTTTGTAAGTGCTTATGTTGACTACTGTTATTTTTAACTTATTTATCCTATCCTAAATATTAAGTGTACTTTATGTAGATGACTATAGTTTCAGAGAATCATATTTAGTAGTGAATTATGCAAAAAATATAGCAAAATAATTAACCCTAATAATTTTCCTGAGCTCTGAGCTCGCAGTCTGAAGGGAATGTTATGTTATAGGATAAAAAAAAGTGTATAGTGAAATATTAGAGAGAAAATTAAAAGCAAAAACAAAAATGCAGTGTGACCGATTCACGAGCGAATGGCTCTTATGAACAGGTTCTTTTAATGGTTTGAATCAGTCTGACCAATTGCTCCCTCAATGAACTCACTGAATGCTGAGAGCCGTGAGTGAATCAACATCTGATTTACTCACTAAACTGCAACTTATCGTCTCGAAATTAAGTTTTGTGTACTGAAGGTTTGTAAAACAAATAGGCCTATCGTTGCTGACTCAGGGAGTAGTTGCAGGTAAAAAAAAAATTCTGTAATAAATCAAGCATATTTTAATCTAAATATATATATATATAACGGTTTAGCCATTCAACTCCAACTGTTCTGCAGTGAGTCACTTTGGATAACCGTCACCTCGTTAGCAAATTAGGATCTAGTTGGCATATTTAGGTCTGTCCGTGTTAGTGGTCTATGCTCAGTCATGGCTGATTTAGGGTCAGTGCTTTGAGTGGATTTTAAGTGGCGCTTGACGCTTCTGAAAAGCTCAGCATCTTAACATACTCCAGAGACGAGCTCGGGTTTCACAAAGACTTCACTTGACCCTTGACTTGGGAATAAATGTTACAATTTGCACTTCTATACTAAATATAACAATGCAATTTTAAACTTATGTTATCGCAAAGCTGGAAATAAACCGCATTTACGCACGAGACCAATTTATTTGACACTACTTAACGTAGTTTTGCGATTATCTAAACACTCAGGCACATTGTTATACTGTAACTAAATGTAATTTAGCCTACGTGTATACACTCTCATCTCCCGCTGCTGTGGCGGCTATGCGCAATTAATCTGGTGCCCGTGGGCGATCAAGCACCGGCGTCCATTGTTAGTCATGATGTTGAGCACAATGGTATAATGCATTAGCATAGGGTTACTGCGGTGAAAGAGAGAAAGAGAGGGAGGTGCATGGAGTTCGCATAGCTTTAGTCAAAGGCAGATGTAAAAGTACCCGGCTCTCCTCCCGTGCGCACCGTGCCATTGGCCTTGCGCCTCTGGCAGAGGATCTAATAGCTGCTTGTGGAGGGAAGTGACATGAGCGCTATCACAAGAACCTCTGATTGTTATATTGCCCTCCAGATTGTTTGTTACCAACTGGAGAGACCATTCATTTTGAAATTATTTCAGGTAACACCCCAATCAGGGGAGGGGTTTCTGGGGGGCAAGGGATGCATATCTCCCCAACCCCCCCCCCAAATATCAAATTGTCAATTTTAGAATAAATATAGTAAAACAATGGTTGATCTCTTTTGAATTATTGATATTCATAGTAATGAACTTTGCAACATAATACTGTTATTGAGCTAAACTGAATTAAACTTAGTCTTTTTAGAGCTGCTTTACAGCTGACATTGTGCTCTTTTTATACCTGAAGAACTTTGCAACACTAATACTGTGTTTTTTTATTACTGTGAAGCTGCTTTAAAAAAATCTGTATTGTATAAAGCACTATATGTGACTTGACTTGGCATTAAATATAAGTTTAATAATAGTTTATAGCCCTAACAAGTGTTTTTTTCCTCCCTTTAAAGATTTTCTCAACCTGAGGCGGAAATATCGCAGACACAAATGTCCAAAGAAGCGCTGTCTACCTCTTCACTCCAGAGTGCCATTCCCTTGAGGTAAGATTTCAGTTCACCTTATTCCCTTTTATTACTCTGAGGAATGAGCAAATATTGAAAAAGGGGAGCATGATTAGGAAACCCAAATTCTGACATCCCCTGGAAGTATTTGCCGACAAATAATCACGAAATACCACAAATTATTGACAACACAAACTGAGTCTTGCCTAACAAGTGCGTGCACTTAATTTAAGAATACCGTTTACCCAGCTAACAAAAATAATGTTTTGCTAACGTTCAGATTCTTAAATGTTTAAAAAAAAAAATCTTGGTTGTGCAAATGTAGAGGACAACATTAAGAGAACATTATGGGAATGTTACTTTTGAATGGTCTTTGAACCATCTGAAACTAGCAAACGTTAAACGAACATCCAACTAAAAAATATTTGAGAGAAACATTCCATGAACGATGTATAAATAATGTATGGCTAATGTTTTGAGAACGCAACTTTGAATGAACATTCTATTAATGTTACTGGAAGAATGTTTGTTCATATCTTAGAGAGAACTTTCACTGTTAGCTGGGTACCACTCCATTGTAATCTGGGCGTTAAGCCACAGCCGAAACAAACAGAGAGACTTTGGGTAAATACCCTGGACTAAATGAGCTGGGAAATTATTGGATCTTTATAGCCATGCGACTTTCTCTCAGATGGGGAGTAAACACAAACACTCCACACCCACCCACACACACAAAAGAGTGGAAACCTGCATAGCCCGAGCAGAGACACACAGCCGGACGAGAAAAGCCCTACCCCCGTAAATACACCCCATTTTAAGTATCTGCCACACACACTGTAAAACTTGGGTGGGACACCTAGTAATGCCAGTCCTCAGAAACACCTGGTGTTTTTTTTTTTTACAGTACAGCTTGTAGATGGTTCTTACATTAAAAGCTATATGTTACTCAACAGTTCAAATTTGGGTGGTTGTTCATGTTGAAATGTGTGTGATGTGACACTGTATCTGTGGGAACACTGTGACAACCTACCGGAGCCGCCTACTGTTTTCAGACATTCTGGAGAGGTTGTCACCTTTAACCTTTACTCTATGACCCCCACATGAGCCAGAGCTAGTCTGGAGTTAACAAAACACACACACACACACACACACACACACACACACACACACACACACACACACACACACATACACATACACATATAGGAACAATGTCTAAAAGAAAAGCAGCACAAAGATCACATCAAGAACAGTAAATATCCATTCCATAGGCCTGAATGATTGTGAATTGAAACTTTGTTTGTGTTTTCTTCTCCATCAGGTTTCACAACTACACAACTATCCTTATGTTGCCTTGTCGAGCGCTAAGAAAACCAAAGACCTGCATTGGGAAATGAGAGAAGAGTTTTGTATCCGACTCACTCAGGACTGTTCTGTAACCAAGCCATGCTAGTCACTTCTGTAAAGGGAGTGTATTGTTTTATGAATGTTAGTGAAGCCATGGGGACATTCACTGCAACCAAACATGCTGAAAACTCATTGCTCAATCAGTTTGAGTTTGCCAGAATCATTGTAAATAGTAAGAACTGAATGAAATGTGTTTATATGTAATTTATGCACTTCAAATGTTTTATTATCTTGATTAAATAAAAAGTGTATCGTCTTTTCACCCCGGACTTCATGTGTCTCAATTCATACCACTTGGTACAACTGGTTTTGACAAATTGGGATTGTTCTGTTTTTGATTGACAGAATCTGAAAAAAGCCACTGATCAGAAAGGTCAACATTCCTGATTCCAGACAATTAATTTTTTACCCTCTTTTGCATGGATTCATATATATACATATATATTCCTTATCTGTTGAATACTTCTCTTAAAGACAGATTTAGGCTACATATTCAGCAACATGTACACCCCAAATTTCATGAAAAAAGAATTTGTGATATCAGAGAGGACCCTCACAACTGTCAACATCATTAAATCTCTTAAAATAAAATCTTTCCTTTTGTTAAACTGTGAAATGTCATGTGGTGCAACCCTTCAAAAACTATACACTTAAAATAATTATAATATTTACTAATAATTGTAACAAAAGATCTTAATTTTGTGTTTAAAATTCTTTCACTATATCATAAAATGTCTAAAAACTTAAACTTGAAATAATATTAAGCATTTTGATTATTACTTGGTTGAACATAGTATCTAAGTTTTCCAAAACCATATGTAACCAACATACAAAAAGTATATTTTGTCAAAGTCCCTGTTGTGTTTTAAACAAAATTTTAATCTAGTATTATCTTACCTCTTTCTTTATCTTGACCCTTTTTTAATCATCAAACCGTGAGCACATTAAAAACTCAACCAACCTAATTCAATAAAACCTGTGGAAATTTTATTCCAAGAAGTAGTTTCAATCATTTTATTCACATTACTTTACATAAAAAGACCGTAGTTCGTAACATCTGTGACATCAAGCATCAGGACTAAAGCGGTCATGTTTTGAGAATGGCTCCAACACATACATACCACAAGAAACATCCTTCTGACACATTTCTTACACACAAACACCAATGACACACTAAAGAAACCAAATTAAGTATGATTAACTATCGCTGTACCCTCTTATTCATGCTCTCACAGGCACGAACAAGGAAAACCACAAGTTGCATGATAAAGCTTTTAGTTTGATTAGATCTCGCTATCCCATAAACTCATAATGAGCATCTTTACTGAACATTTCTGCAGCAGAGGTTTTTGACTTCCTAATTGCAGCCATTGTCTACCCAGACTTGTCGTCATGGAAACGTGAAAGCGTTGTTAGAGAGGTTACCAGGGTTCGTTTCCCACCAAAAGCCTTCTGATCAGTACACACACTCGCACGCAAGGCTTCAGAGCCCATCATGAGTCACTCGCTCTGTTTGCATGGGTCAGGCTCTGATCTGCTGGGCGGTCAGCGTGAGGATCCTCCTGCTCAGGACGCTGTTGTGCTGTTTGAGATAATCAATCAGGTCCGCCTGCTTTTCCACCACATCCTCCAAACTGGAGCCGTCCCTGTGAAATAAACCACAGAACATATGTGCACCTGTCTGAACTGTCCACATCACATGGGATTGAAATGTCAGTGTGTGTGTGCCTATGAAAACATCAGCCACACAGAAAACACCTTATGTTTAGGGATGCCCCAGCAGCACGGACTGTTCTGGGAGATACAGATAACTATATATTGGTCAGCATGATATATGAATCAACATTTTGCGAGACACCAAACGTCTATAGTGGAAAACTGCTTTTTATTTTAAAACAGGTATAAGTGTAGAAAACGATCTTTCATAAACTACAATCATTTAACTAATGTAGGCCTACTATGAATCACTGGAATGAAGAAATTATACATCCATATGGCCCAACTTTCTTTTAAAATGTACAAAAATATAAAAATAAATAACTTGAAAAAAAAAAAACTGTGACATGGACAAAAAAAAAATCATACAGGGTCTAAGAAAACATTCATTCATTTATTATTTATGTACTTATTTATCTATTGTTTGTTTGTTTTTGAAAATGAACATTTGGCTAGAATTTACCTAAAATATTTATTAACAAAATATTCATTATTCAGTTGTCTTCAGTGTCACATGACCCTTCATAAATTATTCTAATGCTGAGTTGGTGTTCAAGAAACGAACAGCAAAAGAACAGCATTTATTATATATTATTATTATTATTATTTATTAGCATTTTTTTTAACAATGTGAAAGTCTTTACTGTCACTTTTGATCAATTTAATGCATCCTTGCCGAATAAAAGTATTTAAAAAAAACATCTTACTGTTCCCAAACTTTTAAATGGTACCATATATATTTTAATATTCCCAAGGTTCAAAAAAGACTGCAACTTTCTGCTGTTGTAGCCTATTTGATTTAAAATGAAGAGCAGTTTTCCAATGTAAAGTATAATAGGCTGCTGATTTAATTACTTAATTTTATAATAAACAAATTCTATGAATCATTACCAACCTGTTTTATTTATTGGACAGATATAATTAAAAAGTGCAATTTATCAGACAATATTTTTTAGAACAACGCATCTTTGATCATTTAACAAGGACAATTTGTATGTGTACTACTGGTTGACCAGTATACGTTCTTCGAGAGAGTAGACATTAAACTGAAAACGAAAAAACATTTACTATGAAAAATGCACATTATCCACTTACAAAGGCTGTGGGTTTACTTTGGAGCTGACACAACCGGAAACTAATACTTTTCTAAATGGCTTCTCAAAATGACCAAATATAAACTGATTAATATCTCTGGTCAATATATATATGGCTCTTTCACCAATGTGTTTTACCTGAAGCCTGTCTCTGTATGTGATCCGCTGGAGCAGGCATGAGAGCGCTCCTCTTCCGTCACATCAGGATGTGGCTTCTTACTATTAAACTTCAGCACATGTACTAAAACACACAGAAAACAAGATCATAAATATACAAAATTAACAAGAATGTAGTTTTCTCATTTGTTTCTCCAACGCCCTCTCACACGTCCTTCCTCACAGTAATTTCAATATACGGCAGGGTCCAAAAGTCTGACAGCAGAAAATCTAGGAATTTTTTTCTCCATTTCAATCTGGAACTAAGCTAAACTTTTTTATAATCCATCTTTTCCTTTACACTCTCATTCTTATACTAACTCATCCTTTAACATAATAAACAGGCAAAGTATTTACCATTGAAAAATCAGACTGTGTCAGACAGAAATGTTGATAGCTGTGGTGTGTCTGACGACGCAAGACACGCTTTAACGTGAGCTAGGTGTGTGAAGACACACATCAGTGTGTGTGAGCAGGAGTCACGTTCAGCGCGGATATTCTTCACCGTAAGGTGTGCTAGTAGACGCGTGGCTAGTGTGTTTTGTGAGCGTGAGAAAGCAGGGCAACTGTGTGATTTCACACGTCACTTCCCTCCTCTCTCACACCTTTAATGTGCCTCTCAATCAGCAAAATTGTCACTCCATACACTACGACAGCACAGCAAGTTTAAGCTGATTCAAACAAAATCTGAACTCAAGATTGTAGAGTTCACAATAAGTGCATGATGTGGCTGTAGCTGGTGTAGCCAGTATGGCTCTTCTATTAAATATAATATGTAAATGGTTCTTTTTAAAAAATATATAATATTACTTAGTTTACAGCATATACACAGTTTGATAGCAATTGATGGCAGATGCCTTATGTCTTGAGCGATGATGTGTCAAACAGTTGACAAAAATCACCAGAGCAACATTTGCGATGTTATGAGACGATACTTCTATTTCTCTTTGCATTCTAATACTGAAATAATTACATTCTTCACCTTTAAAATGCATAAGATAGCTTGTGCTATCGGATCAAACAGTTCTAAACACATCTGTCTAAAGATAATCAAAGTGGAAAATATCTCAGGGTCTCTGAATACATTCTAATTACACCATAATCACCAAAAACAGTAACACACATACACAAACACCTCAGCGTTGTTCCTGACCCACACCTGGCCAACCCATCACAAACACACTAATCAGATAAAACTGCTCTTTCTTCAATCACCTGCAGGAAATGGGGGCCAACAGGCCATTGAGTTGGGCAGGAAGGAGGTCAGGGATTCCCTCTTTAGAGATAATGCACACCTTTTCTCTTGCTCTGAAGTGCCATATAAGTGCAACCTATAATAGTAAATGAAGCTTAAGCAGTTAATTTTAAGACAAATACTGTGTGTATGTGAGTTTAGATATGTAATGCTGGAAGGTTATTAAGGGTAATTTGTCAGTTCTGTCACCACACATCAAGAACAGCCTTTAAAGAATGCTTTTAAAGAGAAAGAGCGACAGTCTTTCTGATATACGTGCCACATTCCTTATATCTCCACTAAACAGTGGTGCTTCCCTCCACAAAAGACACCGTAAAAATAAACACCATTATAATAACACAAAGCTAACTGTCAATAATTCATTTGCATTCTAACACAATGTTGCACAGAAGTCCAGGGCATCGAAACATTTAGCACTTTTGTGCGACATATCCAAGCTCAAGCGGCATTCATTCTAAAGCTAGGAATGAAAAATAATGCACACTTCAAATCATTACATTCCCTCAAGCATCATATTTCAGCATTCCACTCTAATGCCTTCCTTGAGCGCATCTGTACGCGACAAGCGCATGTTGTCCGTGCATCGCGGTAAAACAATGCGGGTCCCAATCACCTCCCTTGCCCCCTTTGAAGGGCCCTAAACTTCCTTTGAAGTGCAGAGGCGGCATACGGCCCATACAGAACACTGCATTCATGTTCAAATGAAGAGAGAGAGGCAGAGATACAACATCACAGAAGACACTTCAAAGACCCTGGAGCACGACTCTGACCTAACTGCACCTTCCTTTAGGAAGGGACAGAGAGATGGATATATGGATAGGAGGAGATAAATGGTGGTTAAATAGATAGAGATCACTCGCAGAGATACAACATCACAGAAGACACTTCAAAGACCCTGGAGCACAACTCTGACCTAACTGCACCTTCCTTTAGGAAGAGACAGAGAGATGGATATATGGATAGGAGGAGATAAATGGTGGTTAAATAGATAGAGATCACTCGTTAGCACAATAAATAAATGTGCGGAAAATAAAGGGTTTTTGATTGAGACCTGGGTTTATTCTTTTGGGAATAATCTCATGTGGGAGTCTCGTAAATTTGTAGATGTATTTACATTCGCCTATTATGTCTGCTGCCATTTTTTCATAAAAAAAAAAAAAAAATTGTATTGTTTATGAAAAATTATATTAGCAGCATAATTTAAGTGAAAAAGTTGAAATTAATAATTTGAGAGTTTGGTCATTATGCAGAAGCTTTTAAGCATAACGAATTCTGTTCTGTTGATCATGTTATCCACAAGATTTTTAAATGTTCCAAAGAGCATCAATGGAAGCAAAAACAAAAACAGAAAAGGAGCAGAATATTACATATTTCTTATTAATTTCACAAAACATTATTTCCAGATTTTGAATTGTTTACTCACATACACTTCCATTCAAAGTTTGGAGTTTGTAAGATTTTTAAATGTTTTTGGAAGAAGCATCTTATATTCACCAAGACTGCATTTAATACAGTAAAACTGTGATTTTGTGAAACAGTATGAAAATCTAAAATAATGGTTTTCTGTTTTAATACATCCGTTTTAAAAATGTAATTTATTCCTGTGACGCAAAGCTGAATTTCCAGCATCATTACTCCAGTCTTCAGTGTCACATGATCCTTCAGAAATCATTCTAATATGCTGATTTGCTGCTCAAGAAACATTTCTCATTATTATTAAGGTTGAAAACAGATGTGCTGCTTAAAATTTTTTGTGGAAACTGTGATAAATTTTTTCATTTAAAGCATTCCTGCAAGATAAAAGCATTAATTATGAGTATTTATAATAATTTAATAAGAATCTTATACCGACCACAAGCTTTTGAACGCTTGTGTATACACATATAAATACATAAACATGCATCTAAAACATTTCCCTCACCTCATGCATAATTCAGAGTGATATAGGAGACATGGGGTGAAATCTGCTGATAGACTCAATGAGAATGAAGTGAGCGAGTGAGGGTGTGTCTCTATAGATAACATGTGGTCAAGCTTCAGTTCACTAATCATCTCTGGAATCCAGGCACTGATACGAGAATGTGTGTATGTGTGTGTGTGTCAACAGTAAAGACAATGCCATGGTGTATTAGGGTGGGGTGGATTCAGGTTGCCTTTGGCAAAGATGAGCCATATGTCCATAACAAGCCTCTTCCCCCAAAACATGGTCCTTCTCTTTGACATTCTCTCAAACATCTCCATTTCTTACCACGGGAGAGCAAAGAATTGTTTGTTATTATCATAAGGAGCACAAAATGCAAGAAAAAGAGGATGAGAGGGACAACAGCTGCCTGGTGGGTTTCTAAAGGGGTAAGGACAGAAGCTTGGGTATTGTAATGCATGCTGGGGGAAGGGGTGCATGTACTATTACTTCCAATTAGCCATCAAAATGAGTGTAGATTTTGAGCAGTAGCATTTCAGAGAACAGGTTATAATATATGATGATGTGAGTTACAAAACGACCAATGTTTTCTATAAATAAACTAAACAAACCCACATAATTCCACTGCCAGAACAAAAAAAAGAAAAAAAATGGTGTATTAGGGTGGGGTGGATTCAGGTTGCCTTTGGCAAAGATGAGCCATATGTCCATAACAAGCCTCTTCCCCCAAAACATGGTCCTTCTCTTTGACATTCTCTCAAACATCTCCATTTCTTACCACGGGAGAGCAAAGAATTGTTTGTTATTTTATCATAAGGAGCACAAAATGCAAGAAAAAGAGGATGAGAGGGACAACAGCTGCCTGGTGGGTTTCTAAAGGGGTAAGGACAGAAGCTTGGGTATTGTAATGCATGCTGGGGGAAGGGGTGCATGTACTATTACTTCCAATTAGCCATCAAAATGAGTGTAGATTTTGAGCAGTAGCATTTCAGAGAACAGGTTATAATATATGATGATGTGAGTTACAAAACGACCAATGTTTTCTATAAATAAACTAAACAAACCCACATAATTCCACTGCCAGAAGAAAAAAAAGAAAAAAAAAATGTTTAAAATAAAATGTGCAAAAACTTCAGTTTCATGGCCAGTGAGATATGCTTATTGCCATTGTCAGGGTGTGGCAAAAAAAAAAAAAAATGTTGGACCCTGTGTGCACGTATAGGAATGTGAAAAACGGGAATGTTTGGTGTAGGATTCTGTGTTATTAACTATGCAGAAATATCATTCAGAATGAATGATGAAGAAATCTTGTGTGTATGTGTGAGCACCTGTATATCTAAGCAAGCATATAACTGACAGCAGGAGCTCCAGACAGATGATGGCCAACAGAAGATATACAGACAGATTCTTCACACTTGCATCCAGCATAGAGGATGGAGCAATTACAGTCAGGATCGCTGCATTACCTATGTAAGAGAGAAAAAGAGAGCAATTCTGCTTTATATTAACCACTGATATCTGTACCAGCCATTAAAAATCCATTCCTGTTGATATGACTATTTACTTGATTATAATTTAATTTGATTAGGCTTCTTTACTAAATGATAAACTGCATGAAATCTGAAATTTGGTCGTGGTTCAGTTCAAATCACATTGAGCATTATGGTATGATTCACAATTATTGACTAAGACATTCACTACTGTTCAAAAGTTTGGGGTTGGCACGATTTTTTAAATGGTTTTGAAATAAGTCTCTTATGCTCACCAAGGTTGCATTCATTGATCAAAAATACATCAATATATGTAAAAAAAAATTCAGCCTCATTACTCCAGTCTTTAATCTCACATGATCCTTCAGAAATCATTCTAACATGCTGATTTGCTTTTCAGGATACATTTATTATTATTATTATTATTAATAATAATGATGCTGAAAACAGTTGTGCTTTTTAATATTTTTTTTTGGAAAGTGTGATACATTTTCAGGATTCTTTGATGAATAGTAAGTGCATAAGAGCAGCATTTATTTAAAAGTTCATTTATTTTTGCAAGAATTTAAAAATCTTTGTCACTTTTGATCAATTTAATGCAGCTTTCTAATTTCTTATCTTATTAATTTCTTTATTAAAAAAACTTTTTGGAACGGTGCTGTAAATTTACCATATTAGAAAATGAGAGGGAAAAAAAACAATTAGACTTAGTCATGAAGTGTATTTATGATAATAAATGAAAGCAACTGTGCATAAACTATTAAATTTCATCATCAATATATATATACACAGTTATAACGACAGCTTCTGTGCTGCCATCTAGTGGCCATTTGTGAAATATAACAGCTATTTGGACGTGACTGAAAGAGCACTTTAGCATTAGTATTAGCAAAAGATTCTATTAATAGAGATTGACTTTATGAAGTGGTAAAAAAAGGGTGGTGGGGGAAATTAAAATAGTGTGTGTGAAACATCTTTTCACCTGCAGAGTGAATGAGAAGTGGAAGGTTTTTTATTCCTCGGGTCAGTCTGTAGAAGTCCAGATAACCTCTCCGTCTCACGGCGCTGTGGTGATGCTGAACAAATCTATCATATATAAAGACCATCACCCAGAGTGAAACTTTTCCCAGTAACACCACGGTCTTGGAGTCGATGCCATGCAATGTCGCAGTGCACTCGGTAGTGTACTCATCAGATATCCAGCAAAATACTGTGATTACAATGCATACCACCACATAAACCACCTGCAAACCAGAGACAGAGAAATTACACAAAAAGCACAAAGAGGAAGTTGTGTACAGTAGTGTGTGTGCTAGTGTTCATGTACAACTAGTTAATTTAAAGGGGTCATATGATGCTGCTAAAAATAACATTATTTTGTGTATTTGGTGTAAAGAAATGTGTTTATGCGGTTTAAGGTTCAAAAAACATTATTTTCCACATACTGTACATTATTGTTGCTCCTCTATGCCCCGCCTTTCTGAAACACATCGATTTTTACAAAGCTCATCGGTCTGAAAAAGCGAGGTGTGCTGTGATTGGCCAGCTATCCAGAGCGTTGTGATTGGCCGAATACCTCAAGCGTGAGACGGAAATGTTACGCCCCTCACCATACTGTGATGCCGTGTCCCGGCCGGAGCGACGAGACAAAAACATTAAAACCCATTATAAACGAGGCATTCGTTGCATCCAGTGGGGACATAATTACGGATTATAATGACTTATACTGTCTTTTTACGCGTTGTGTTGCATCGCGCCGCGTAAACATAAAACCATGTCTGCATTTGTGATCGGAGAAATGACAAACAAGTGCTACTCTACACTGCTCAAAACTCGAGTTTGAATTGTCAGTGGCAAATTCTTTAAATATAAAAAACGTACTTACAGTCTGTGAGTCAGAACAGCCGGCATTGTAGTCTACCAGGATCAGGAAACAGTCCTCCATAAAATGCACTGCACACATCTGAATATTTGGGTTGAAGTGTTCTGGAACAGTGTTGTAAATACAACTTAACCACTGATTTTCTAGTCGTGTCCTCTTTTGGAAGGCGAAGCAAAGTAGTTTCGCTTTCACAACGAAACACACAGTGTCACACACGGCGGGCCTGAGTGAGCGGAGGCCGGCAGGCGTTATGCAAATCTTCCCAGATAGTGAGGTAGATATGTGGGGACGTGTTTAAATGAGGCATTTTAGGTAGGAGTGGTTGACTCTTAACTTTTATAAAGAATATCTCTTTGGATTTGATACTTTAGTCTTTGCAACTTTACAGATCTTCTTTATGCACCAAGAGCTTGTAACACTCCAAAGAGAAAGGAAAAATTGAAATCGCATCATATGACCCCTTTAAGGTTAAAGATTCTTGTCAAACTGTCATGTTTTTAAGTGATTTTCCTTTGTGGAGCAACATTTAACATTGATAATACTCACCATTTGTGTCTTATTTTTCAATTAAATTATCTAAAAATGGTTAAATCTTGTCATTATCCTTCTCAAGTAAGTGCAGTGAAAACTGTTTTTATACTCACGTGTAAAAACGAGAGGACACCCACTGCCCAATGAGTGGGTAATTTCTGAAACTCTCTCTTAATCACTGACTCAAGTACATCTTGGGATATTAGTGGTCCATCAATAAGAGGGTCATCGTCAGTGCTTTGAGTAAAATCTACATTTGTGTTATTCTGGCCACAGAAACAAAACAGACACATACAGGTTAGACTGTGCGTTGTAATATAGCATCCATAATACACTACAGCAATTAGCTGAAAGCTGCTTTGCAGGCATTAAATGTTACTTTAAAGTCATGCATTTCAAAGTGATAATGCATAAACTGTATTAGGGCCTAATAATGACTCACTATTACAAAAACATTCTGTAAAAGGCTCCTTTCACCAGTTGAACGACCTAGGGAATAGCGCCATTATCAAAACATTTGGTGATACGAATAGCAGCCACATAAGAGCTATTGACATAAGAGTCACCGAAAGGAGTTTAACTCTGATCATAAGTGCAGTGTATATTCTTCTACTACACAAATACACACACACACACACACACAACATACAGACAACCAAAAACAGCAGCAGCAGCTCAGACAAACAAGTGTGTTACTTAATAGTACATATAAACCATACACATCAAAGCAACAGTCTGTCATATCAGGGACATTTGGAACTGAGTAACGTTAGTTGTATTACAGCTGCTCCCGTGAAAAACAGCAAGCGAAATAAAATGTATATACGCACGCCATAAGCCGAGGTACACTCAGACTCCATCACACTGCCTGATCAATCATCACGCATAAAGGAAAAAAGATTCAGATTTAAGAAAACGCTCGGACAAACATTTCTAAATTAGACTTCCGGGTGGCGACATTACCGATCCTACCACGAGAAAGGCTTGGCTCATGAATATTAATCAGGTGACGTGACGCCCGTCATTCAGATTTAGGTGATTGGCTCAAAGCGAGCACAAAAGCACGCCTCATGAATATTAACCAGAAGTTTACATAGCACCAGCACCTCCATTAATGATTTTCCTGTTTTTTTCTTTAACAGTGTCAATGTCACTTTCATTGTTAAAAAAAGTTAATAGGGTTAAAACGCGTATATGTTTTCATGTGCTGATATGTATTGTGTTGATGAGGGGAGGTCGCGCTTGCATGTCCTCACCACATTTTGCCAAGTGTTTTGGCAAATTTTTGTAATGAAGGAGATCCCAGTAATCTCACAGAAGTTGTGAAATGGCTCCATTAAACAGACATCTGCTCAGGGGGCCAGGGGAAGAGCCTCTTTTCCTTATAATGGAGGAAGAGGACAAGGAAAAGACCCTCAACAATCTCCTGGAACAGAAGTTTCCAGAGTGCCCTTCATATTTCATCTTGTGTTCAGGGGAGTTATTTTTGTAGGATTGTCACGACAAAATGGGCATAAGAGTGAATTGTTCATTTTGTTTTCATGCAGGATTGTCATGACAAAATGGGCGTAATAGTGAATTGTTCATTTTATAAACTTCAATTTAATTATTGTGTACATTTTGATTGCTACTTTTAAAATTATGCTGCTGTTTGTGTGTGTCTGTGTTTTATTAAAATGTTTTAGTTTTCATATAGAAAAATTTATGATGCACGTGTTCTTGACTTTGGAGTAAACATTTATTTTGAATCTTGTGATTAAAGTATATTTCATATAAAATGCCCAGAAGCTTCAAACATTATTTTTAATATCACAAACAGGAAATTACTCGCATAATACGATGAAACGAATAACTGTATAGGTCTACAACTAATAACTGTATAGGTCTACAACTAAATTACACAAGATGTATATAATGTTTATAAAATGCTTAATATGTCATTATAAAATGCATACATAAAGTATGACGTATCGTGTGTAATAAAAGCAAATTACCCCTTAAAAACCATAAGGTGGCGCTATTCTTTAAAAAAAAAAGTAAGCTCCGCCCCTCACTTCCGGTTCTGTGGCTGCGGGTCTGCAGCTGGATATATCTCCAATTTTGTCCCATTCTTTGAAAGCCAATGGGAAGGAAAAATCTCCAGTCCGTTGTTATTCACAAATTCATTGATACATGTACTGCACAAAATAACTTGTGCCGATCTGATCTAAAAACTTTTCAAACACATTTTGGCGCAGCAGCAGAGTTAAGCACACAAATGACCTGAAATCATTATCTAAGAGTAGCCTAAATAAATAAATAAAGATAAAATATATGAGAAATATAATGGGTGTGATGATTTTGGAATACTTTTTCCATTACATTCTACATTTTAATGTTTTGATGAGAGTAAGGACTGCTTGGCTGTGAAAATTCTGCTTCAAGTTGTGTTCTATATATTCACTTCTAAATTATGCACCATTTATTTAAATATTATATATATATATAGATATATATATACACACACACATATATATATATATATATATCATAGACTGTATATATATATTAGATAAAATATTTTTTTATATTTAAGATCAAATGAATGGAGGCTGATTGGTGCCTATATGTTCAATTATAGTGTCCGTTTTTGCATTATTATTACAGTCAAATCTGAACACAGAGAAAGCATTATTTATAAGAAAAAAATTGAAGAAAAACTTATATTTATTTTTTTCTCATTCCCGATTTATTTTATTTCCTATTGCAGCCATTTCTGACCATGAAAAGTATACGTGTGACTGTTTTATGACCATTTAGCCTTTTCCAATCATGTCTATGTTCTTGTGTATGTGCACCATTTAGATTACAGTTTTTAAAAATAATAATTTATCAATACCAATGATTTTCCTAAAATACATATCACTATTCTCAACTCAACATATTCATGACAATATATAATTTTGACCTTTTATGTGAACATTTGTAAGATTTATTTCACCTTTCGGAGCAGCCAAAGGTAAGAAACAAAGGGATTATATATATATATATATATATATAAATACTGGCTTATAAATAAAGAATTATACAGTAATTCAAATGTATAAATTTACATGGAACATTTATTTGATTTTGTATTTTATTTTTAAGACATCCTTTTAATCACTGGTGAATATATGTTAAATACTGTTAGAAACTTGGCAGAGGTGTGCTATGCCTATGGCTTCCATAGACTTAACAATGTGTCCAAATTTGACGGGTCATAGCGCCGAACGAGGATTTCGTAGAAACACGTGGATTACCACATTTGAAGAGCCTGGCAAGCTGTGTGAGAACATACCTCGCAATGGGGTATAAGTTGTAGCCCTACCCCTGGGGCACAACTGCTACCCGAAAATTGCCCCATAGACATACTATGGTAAAGGAACTGAGCGCAAATGTTTTTCCAAATATGGTAACTTGCATAGGCATTTTGCATTGAACATAACTCTAGATGACAATGTCATAGAGACATATTGGGGTGGTTTCATTTTACTCAGGCAACCAATCAGTCTCTCAGGATCATTGTGAGGCTGTCAAGCCACGCCCTAGCAACCATTTACGGCACCCTAGCAACCCAAACCTAAAGAGGGATATCTTTAAATCTGAATGTCATAGAGGCATGGGGGTTGGTTTATGTCATTCATACTGGCAAGCAGCCTTTGGAGTATCATCACTGGCAGCTGCCAAGCCACTCCCTAGCAACTAAACAGAGTACCCTAGCAACAGTTTAACAAGACCTACATCTCTGCATCAGAACATTGTATAGACATGGGGATTGGCTCTTTTGACTAATGCTACCAAACAAGACTTCCAACATGCTACTCATGCTATCACCGAATAGCTACATGCTAATAGCAATTACCTAAAACATGACAAAAAAGACCCTAGTGTCGAGTTTTGCCACAGCAACCACCACTCACATTTTCTTCAGAAAATGTACATATCTAGTATTATCATTATTATTAAAAAATGAATAATGAAATATTCATTTGGTCAGGCTGGCAGATGAAGGCTGGTCTGAGCTCTCTGGTCCTGATGTGGTGGGCTTGAGGTTACTGCTGCCTTCATGGGGGTCCCCTTTAGTTGAAATCGCTTCACAGAAATCCAAAGCTTCCTGATTCCAACATTATCATTTTAAAATAAAACTCTTGAGAATCTAAAAAAAAAACATACAAATTTTTTTTTATAATCTACTACACCAGTTTGTGTAAAACAAGACAAAAATACTGATTAAAATGTTTTTTTTTTCTGTTTTTGCAGTAATAATGGTAGCAGACTTACCGTCAGTTGGCTTGAAACCAGAGGGCTCTGCAACAAAAAATGGTTTGGGATCAGCCGGCTGTGGGTTCGGCTCTAAGTCCTCTGGTTGAGACACAAATGGCTCCACTCTGGTCTCGCAGCAGCAACAGCAGAACGAGGGACACTTTGGAGTCTTTTGTGCTTTCTTGAAGAACGAAGAGCTCCCATTCTTCATCTTCTTCCACAAATTGGTATGATTTCCTAAAAAAAAAAAAAAAAAATTCATTCACTTAATAGATTTGTAAAAAACAAAACAAAACAGAATCATCCTCACATGCTAGTATGCTGTGCTTGTATTTAATATCTACATAAATGTCCCAGTTTCCAGTGTAATTTCAGTCTCACCTGTGCTGTTCTCCACAGTGTCTACAGGAGATGCCTCTTTGTCACTCTGCACCTCCAAGCTCATTGAAGGCCCTGTTGAGTACATGTTCCTGCAGTCGGAACATGCACATGCTTCTCTAGCAGGAACATTCTGCCAAGCGACTCTTCGTTCATCAGTGGAAGACATGGCACTGCTAATGCTTAACAAATCCAGGCTATTGTCACTTCCACCTTCACCTATGAAGAGGTCGCTGTTAAAGCTCCATTCACTCAGCCTATGGACCGGTTTTCCTCTCTGGACGGAGAACACGCCACAACTGATCACACGATGCCTACAATCATCTTCGGATGTGTCGCTGCTAAGGCTGAACTCATCTAGGCAATCAGCATCTTCTGTCTAATTGCAAAAGTTAAAAAGAACACAGAGTTATTATTATGAGCACGTTGAAGCACGTACATAACCTTTAAGATTTGAGTCTCTCAGTATCAAACCTTAAAGGTTTTAGAATCGAAAATCTGTAAATCGTTTTAAACAGATGTTTTGATCAAGACGCAACTTATGTAAAATCTAAATATTTATAGAATTCAGTAAGTGTACCAGTTTGCTGCTAAATGTAGGGGTTTCCTCATTCACTGTGCTAAAGCTTCCCATTTCATAGCCAAACTCTTCAGATTCTGAAAAAACACACATAAAGAATGTTATAATAATTTTTTTTTGTGTGTGTAGCACAAGACAAAAATACTGATTTAAAATGTTTGTTTTTGCAGGGTACCGCAGTAATACTGGCAGCAGACTCACCATCAGTTGGTTTGAAACCAGAGAGCTCTGCAGGACATGATGAATCCAGATCGGCCGGCTCTGGGTCCGCAAATGGCTCCACTTTGGTCTCGCAACAGAGGGAAGGACGCTTTATAGCCTTCCATGCCCTCTTGAAGAATGAACAGATCCTGTTCTTCATCTTCTTCCTTAGACTGACATGGTTTTCTAAAACGAAGACCGTTTTGTTCAATTAGACATTCAGGCACATGCCCCTTTAGATTTTTGAGTATATATATATATATATATATATATATATACACACACAAAATCTAAATCAATTTCTTACATTTTCTAAAATTTCTTTTTGTGTATATATATATATATATATATATATATATATATACACACACAAAATCTAAATCAATTTCTTACATTTTCTAAAATTTCTTTGAAATTTTCTGAAAATGACTTTTGCAAATTGTTCAATCTGTGTCTCAGGAGTGACACGTTTCTTTAAAGGACTACAGAGAACAGGCTCTGGCTCGCAAAATGCCCTGTCAAATACATATATGGTGCAGTTTTGTTTCTAGAAGCTACAGAATATAGCTGAATCGATGCAGGACTTACAGGCCCAATATTCTTAATATTCTGGAATGACAACAGTAAATGCATTAATAATGTATTTTTCAGTTTTGAATCATCACTTAAAAATATTATCTTAAGACACTGCATTAATTATTGCAGTGTAAGCTTAAGAAAAATGTTATTAAAAATAATAATAGTTATTTATATTTATGAAAAACAATAGTTCTGCTGTTTTCCATACATGAAAATGCTGGGCGATCACTAGTGCCCCCTATAAAAATTGATGCCCGAGCAACGTTTGGCTTTTCTGGAAACCCTTTTCATTGGCCAACTAAAAAAACAGACAACTCAACTGGCAATATTGTGTTCAAATTTAAGTTACTCTATAATAACTTATTGTTGACTTACTGTAAAAACCAATATCACATGAGCAAGAGTGCTTTTGTTCTAAACATCAGCACGGTTGGGATTAGGCCCACATGCATTTATTTAAAATTGCTTCTAGATATGCAAAATATGCAACACTGTAAAGGGATCTCACACATGAGAGGTAGGGACTGTTGCGTGGATCCTTATAAACTAGTGGCTCTAATTCTGATCTACATAAATGTCCCAATTTCCAATGTAATTTCAGTCTTACCTGCGCTGTTGTCCACAGACTCTATAGGACTTACTATTACTCCTATTGATGTAGACTCTATAGAAGACGCTTCTTTGTCACTATGGACATCCAGCCTAACCGAAGGCCCTGCTGTGTCAACAACATTGGAGGATGTATGGAGGGGAACGAAGGATGCGTTGTGCATTGGAGGACGGTAGACAATTTGGCTTTCACAAGAGGACGTGCTGCTGCTGCTCAGCAAACCCACACTATCATCACTTCCTCTATTAAGCATTAATATGCTGCCGCAATGCATTTGCGTATTCTGCCTACTGACAAATCCTCCCTTATCAGAGTGCGATTCAAAGCTGGCCACACTCGCCCCTGTTTCATCTTCAGATGTGTCACTGCTAAGACTGGACTGCTCTGTGTAATCACCATCATTACTATCATCTATCTCATCATAGACACTGATGGCGCCTAGATTGAACACATCTAGCTTAATAAAAGCTGCAAACTCAATGGAGAACTTGTCACTTCTGGACCCACGAAGGCCATCAGGGACACCTTCACTCTCAGCTGCACTGATCTCAGATAATGTCATGGACATGATGTCCAATGCAGAGCAGTCAAATCTGGAAAGACTGTCTGTAGAATCTGTAAAGACTTTGTGTATTATTGTAGAATATTATCACACACTAAACTTAGCAAGTCGCTTTGTATACAAGCGTATAAATGCATAAATGTAAACGTGCTCCCGCTGTCTCTCTCTCACATATATGAAGCCAGTTCATAGGTAGGTGACGTAATAGAATGTTAATATGCTGAAATTCAAATAATGCGAAATTTGAAATAGGCACAACGCGCTGGGTTAATAGAGCAGTGGTTAATTCTCTAATAATGAAGAAGAAGCTAGGTGCACTGTGTGAACGGCCAAATGAAATTCGAATTAAACTACTTAAAGCTTGCGTCTTCAACTACGGGGACTTTTATGCTTTGGTCAGAGGTTATGTTTTTCAAGTCTGGTTTAAAAACGAATTAGCAGTAAAACAAACGAACAGTAGGCCTACCTACGGAACACCCGACCATTATCTGACAGCAGCACTAATTTAATTCTGTACCAGACGAGAACCGTTTGGCATAAAGACCGCACTCGCATTAAATCTATTACATCAGGTAGGCTAAGCAAGATTATTTATTTTCTCATGTAACACAAGCAATCAAACCAACATTAGGCACTCTAAGTTGGTGCTTTGAAGAAAAACAGACATGCAGCGCAACATGATAATTAACAGAAAAAAAGATGAGAACGCGCCTTTCTGTAAACAACACAAAACTTTTGCCTAGCATCTTGTGATCACTCTGCCAGGCTTTTGAACAAATGTGCATTGGCTAAATCACATCATACACACGCTTATAATTCTTCATAAATGAAAATAACATTCAAATATAAGCCTTTACTGTTAAATGCGATTGCCGTTATTATTGAATTTCATTAGTCCCAGTTTTGATTGATGCACGCCCTGTTGAAAAAAAACAGCATATGCTGGTTAGGTATGTTTTAAAGCTGGGATGCTGGTTTGAGCTGGTTTAAGCTGGTCCTTTGCTGGTCCGACCAGCTTAAAACCAGCACATGACCAGCATAGCCCAGCAAAGGACCAGCATAAACCAGCAAAGGACCAGCTTAAACCAGCAAAGGACCAGCTCAAACCAGCAAAGGACCAGCATAAACCAGCAAAGGACCAGCTCAAACCAGCATAAACCAGCAAAGGACCAGCATAAACCAAAAAAGGACCAGCATAAACCAGCAAAGGACCAGCTGAAACCAGCAAAGGACCAGCTTAAACCAGCAAAGGACCAGCTCAAACCAGCATCCCAGCTTCAAAACATATACCTAACCAGCATATGCTGTTTTTTTTCAACAGGGCGGCTGTTCACGGAAAAGTGAGCAAGACACCACAGTTACAATATCATGATTATGGTTAAATAAGAAAAGATATATGACCAACCAACCATCAGGCTACATTTATTTTCATACTAAATATCTCAACACACATCATTGGATATGACATTAAGCGCGACTTGTGTAGATTAATTTAGTAAAAAAGGCTTGCCTGCTTTCTTTGGCGTATATTTGTGTACTATTACCATCTAATCAATCTCAGCATGCGTTAATTTTGTGTCGCTATATGTTTGCCTCTCTAAGGTTAAATTATGCCTACGTCTTTCTTTGGCCTGAGCTCTGGAAGTGATCTGTTAATTCTGCTAAACTTTAATTAAAACTGAAACTAAACTATATAAAAACTAAATAAAAATGTGTTCACAAAATGAAAACTAAACTAAAACTAACAAAAATATGAATGAAACTAATAAAAACTAAACTGAATTTTATAGCAAATTTGAAAACGATATTAAAATAAAACAAATGTAAAAATTCTAAACTATAATATCCTTGTCTGGAACGTCGTTAAAAATATTAATATAGTTTATTCCCTCTTTCCAAATTTTGTTTTTTTCTTTTCTTTTAAAGTAACAAGTTTATACTTGAACAATGTAATACAAATGATACATTATAAAAATTAATTGTTTGAAATGATTAACCAAGAGTGAAATTTATTCTAGCTATCATTTTTATACAAATTACGATTGTCCTTTAGATGTTTTTATTTCCATTACGAGCACCATTTAAACATTTTTGAAAATGTATGAAATCAAGAACTTGAAACATTTGTGAGCATAATATAAAGTTGAGCATCATTCCAAGCTGTAATTTTGGAAAATGAATCTTCATTTTGGAGATCAAAAATAAATACTTCAAGTCTTTAATAATCTCTAAAATTCACGCATTCTTTAAATTTGTTATAAATTAAGGGATTCTGTGACAGAGTCCTCACTTTATTCCACCAAGTCAGCACCTTCTAATTTATTTTCAAGGACACTATTTTCATAGTAGTATAAATTAGGGGGGTCCCTAACCCTCCCTCCATGCATCACTGAGGCAGACAAAGCAGAAGATGTGTACCCCTTTGATCAACGTATCCTTTTTAGTTCTTTATATGCTTCTCCATGTTTTACCACTCCTCTCCACAGCATTTGTTTGTGTCAAGATCCTTAACTTCCTTCTATTATTATTCCATGAGTATCTTCAGTAATCTAGAAATATCAGAAATTAAAATAGTGATTTCCAGCCCTTCAAAAGTCCTGAAAGCATAAGTTTACTTTACTTTACTTTCAAAAATCTTGGAAATGGGTGGAAAGACATGAAAATTACAAAAAAAAAATTGGTTTAGGGAAGTCTGCTAGAAGTCATCTTGGATCATTTTTAGCTCCAGATCGGTTCTAAATTCACCCAGTTGTGTTCTCTAGTCTGCAGATTGTTCTTGGACATCTTGAATCACTTCCTAAAGAGGAAGCAGCTCGTGACAGACAGTCTCGTTGCATCTGGTACCTGTCCTTCCTCATCAAAGCCTCGCTACAGAGACGTCTCTCCTTCAAATGTGAGTGTTAAAGAACCAAAGCTGATTTTTTAGGATGTCTCTGCCACTAGATGACATGGTAGTAGTGTATTGATTCCAAATGTTCTCGTTTTATATGGCCATTGTGTTTTTTTAACCTGTCAATAAACTCATTTATTTTCACTCTCTTCTGAAGTTGGTAGTGAGGATGGATGTCCACGAATCATCATCAACAAAGTGCTGAAGGATTTCACAGTGGAGAGTTTCCACAACGGCAGGTGTGTTTCCTCCGAACGAGGCACAGTCCTGCAGGCTGTTCTGACTTCATTTTTGTTTTAATCTTTTTAAAAACTCTGAAATTGCAGTATATAAATGTCTCAACAGCCTCAGGAACACGGTGTCGTCGTCCATGCGTATGAAACTGGCTGCTCACTGTTTAGCTTTACTGCTGCACATGAGTGATCAGACGGCTAACCTTACACTCCTACACCGAGACATGGGCATCAGTGATGTCAAGTAAGTCAGAAGTATTATTTTACACCTTAAAGGAACACTCCTCTATTTTTGAAAATAGGCTCATTTTCCAACTCCCCTAGAGTTAAACAGTTGAGTTTTACCGTTTTCGAATCCATTCAGCCGATCTCCGGGTCTGGCGGTAGCACTTTTAGCTGTAGCTTAGCATAGATCATTGAATCTGATTAGACCGTTAGCATCTCGCTCAAAAATGACCAAAGAGTTTCGATATTTTTCCTATTTAAAACTTGACTCTTCTGTAGTTACATTGTGTAACAAGACCGACGGAAAATGAAAAGTTGAGATTTTCTAGGCCGATATGGCTAGGAACTATACTCTCATTCCAGCATAATAATCAAGGAACTTTGCTGCTGTACCGTGGGTGCAGCAGGCGCAATGATATTACGCAGTGCCTGAAAATAGGCTTATTGGAAGTTACCTAGCTGGGGACTATTTTCAGGCGCTGCGTAATATCATTCAATCAATGAATGCCATTTTGACACTTTTAAATGTGATGTGACAGACCGCTGTAGCACCTCAGTTCAAGCGGAAGCATAGAGCGCGAGTCTCTTCCACTTTAAGTTATAGTGCAAAATAAACATGAATGAACATCAGAAGGTATGCTGAAAGATACAATATAGCTTCCAAAATGCATCATGTCTAATGTAATCGCTCAATCAGTGTTTCAACCGCAGAAAGATGCCAATAAAATAGATTGTGAAAAGTATTTCACTTAACTTGGCATTTACCTCAGCAAAGTTATCCACTGTTCACTAGTTAGCTATAAAACAACACTAAAGGGGAGCATTTTTACTTATAATTATATATGTACATGTATATTTGAATAGGCCTAAATCTGGCATGAAGACAGGTATTTATGAGGACTATGTGCAAATTAGTTATAAACAGACATTTCAATTTTTATTTGAGTGTATTTATGATATATGAAAATAATTAGCAGTTGTATATTTACAACAGAGCTAATATAATAGCTCTTTTGTAAATTTTAACCTTTAATATTATAGTAATGTGCCAAATGAGAGGGTTCCCTATGTAGTTAAAACTTAGCATCGGTTAGGAGAGGTTTTATTCCTTAAGAAAATCAAACTATTGGTATCGGCAGATATCATTCTGAATAATCAGCTATTGGTATCGGCAGAGAAATTCAGTATCAGTGCATCTCTATTTACAACACTTTACAAGGTTCCATTGATTAACTTTAGTTAACGCATTATCTAACAATAAGCAGTATATTATAGTGTTTCAGTATTTATTCATCTTTGTTAATGTTGTTAGTTTGTTTGCTCAGGTTCATTTAATAATATTAACAGATTGAACTTTTGATTTAAGTAATGTATTAGTAAATGTTGAAGTTAACATTAACTAAGATTAATAAATGCTTTAGAAATATTTTTCATTGTTAGTTAATGTTCTCTAATAGTAATAAATAGAACCTTATTGTAAAATGTTACTTTAAACTGAAAAAAAAAACATGCATGAAGTATATCATCTCAAGGTATGTTTACATGACAATGTACTAAAAATGGAAAAGGTTTGCATTTTTTAAAAATTTCACATACAGATGACAACATTGTCAAAACGGTCCTCATTCACATAGATCTGTGAAAACGAATAAAAACGTTGCATTATGCATGCCAGGCCTGTAGTTGGCGATATCACTTTGCAAAGGAAAACAATGCACCTGCACACGTACCTAAAGAGCCAAAACACTGTTATCATGTAAATGAACAGCCAAACTGCATAAAAAGTTTTCCGTTTTTAGTTGAAAATGATGTTGTGTAAATGCCCCCTTTAGATAGGAGGGCCTATGAATGTTATGCACAAATGGAGGCTTTGGAGTCAAAAAGGTTGAGAGTCACTGCTCTAAATCCCTGTTATCCTTACCTTGACACTGTTTGTGTGCAGAATGTTGGAGGTGGCCAAGGCCATGGGGCTGACCCTGTGCCGTCAGTCTGCCTACAGTAGAGAAGAGGCCGTGACACATGATGAGCACAGGATGGTCTCTCTGGTTCTTCCACTGGTGCATTACGAACGACGTATGGAACGCAGGAAACGCAAGAGGATGAACTGAGCTGTGGACAGCAGTATGTTTCTAAGCTGTGTGGGAACCGGCTATAATTGAAAGTGTTACATTTACTGTCGTCTTGTAAGATTATTCAGTTAACTTAGATTGGAATTGCCTGTGTTCTGATTTATTTATTTTTTTTGCATATACTTGAGACGACAGTAGGAGCCTGGAATTACATCTGTATTGATTGACAATATTATTGTATAGAAAGCGAGGACAAGGATTGTTTTTCTTGTGAAAAATGTCTTTGGTTTTAGGAATGAAATCCATATCTTCACAGTATCCTCAGACAAAAATGACAGAAATTAGGCAATTTGCTATGATGGTGATTATATTTATACTGCACAATAAGTATAAAAACCATACTGTAAAAATAGGCACGTTTTAGTAGATACATATTGCACTTTATAAATCAAACCAGCAGTTGGTATGAAAACACTACAAAAATAATAACAGCCTGCTGTAAATCTAACATAAGATGGCTATCTTTCGATAAATAATGTCTAGTATTCTGGGAAGAAATCGCATTACAAGATCCCTAATTTTAGTGATGGGCTATGTTCGTAATGGCATACTTCCATACTATTCCTGCAGTATGTATACTGTGCAAAGAGTGCAAATGTTCAGGATACCCAGTCATCTTAGTTTTACAAGCAATAGCTATGACTTGTACTTCCAGTTCCAGTATAATGAATGACCCGATATTACTGCTGAAAGATCATTTCTTTTACGAGTCATTATTTGATCATACTCCACCAAAAGTAGCCATTTAAAAAAAATTATAATTTAACTGCAAAATAACCTTGAATATTGAGGTTGACACCTCACCTGCAATGAGGTCATATGACAACAATGTTAGTAGATTCAGAATAATACCTACTGTTTTAGCATCTTTAAAAAAGAATAAGCAATTTACAGTATATACTGTGCAATGTTCAGTAAATAGTAAGCTAGTATTCCATTCTGAACACAGCCAAGGTCGCTTAAGAAATCCAACCAGTTCCAAGCCCTGTTACTACTTTAGGACAACTACCTGAAGACTGACTGAAGTTACAATTTATCATTAGTCTAGTTATTTTCTTACCTACAAAGGTTTTTGACATTATAGCATGGCTCAAAAGGGTTTTCATATGGTTCTATTTAGCTGTGAACCTGTGATAATCTTGCTACTTGTCTCCAAAATAGTAAAACAGCTATCATAGCGGCCATTGCATATCTGAATATGATGTCAGTAAAGCTCTTCACTGCTATACAGTTCAAAATAAATGATCCATTGACAGGCCTATTAAATCAGTGCCTGTGACATCACATTTAAAGGGATAGTTCATAATTTACTCACCCTCATGTTGTTCCAAACCCGTATGTATGTATTTCTTCTGCTGAACACAAAAGAAGATATTTTGAAGAATGTTGATATCCAAACACTTTCGGTTCTCATCAACCTTCATTGAATTTTGTCCACACAATGGAAGTCAATGGGAACTGAAACGGTTTAAATAAACAATACGAGTAACTTCTTTTGTGTTCCACAGAAGAAAAGTCACTGGTTTGGAATGACACGAGGGTACTGATGACAACATATTTAGGTCAGACTATTCCTTTAGGGTGTTTAAATTGTCTTTTTTTTTTTTAAATCTTCCAACCTTTCTATTCAGCCAGTTTGGGCTGGGCTGCCAGGTCATACAAGAGCAAAACCCTTCAATAATGTGCACATGTACATAAAACTGGATTGTTTTTAGAGGAAAGTTGAATATTGCCACTTGATGTAATGCAACAGATTCTGCCAGCTTATGACTGGCTGCATCTTGATATGCAGTACATGCTGTTTTGTTCTTGTCCATTACAGAATCTCAGCGGAAGCCAGCAGGACTACAATTCCTGCGGTGCACTGAATTTGTTTATCTTCTATTTTCAGCACTGGTCCTGGTCTTTTGGGAAGAGAGAGAGCGTAAGCCATGTGACATGTCTCTCGCTTCTACTTCCCTTGTGTCTCTTTGTCCCTCCTGACTTTGTGTGAATGTCTGAAATGATAATAACAGGCTGTAGGTTCATTGGACAATTAAATCCATGTGTCTTATTGATTCGCAGAAGATTTTGTTGAATAGAAGCTTGATTTGAAGAACTTCCAGTAATTCATAAATAGTTTTGTCTCAGTAAACTGTCCTGTATTGAACGGGCTTTCTGCTGGATTGGTAGCCAACTAGACTTCAGGTATGTGATAAAATACAAACTCCAGTAAGATGCTCATAAACACTGATCCCAGACCAGCTTCACTTCCATTTCGAGTGAGTGGAATGATTCATTTCAGATCAAAAAAGTGGCCTTAATCCTTCATAGTTTGATTACCTGACTACTAAACAACCTACCTTTGGTTAGTCATTAAAAAAAGTGCATTTGAACGTCAGGTGCTTGAAGCTTATTCCGATTTTTCATCATCCAAACCACATGTTGAAGCAGTGCCTTGACCTCTTCTATGTCCTTCTTCAACCAGGGTTCACACTGAGGGGACATTTTATGAATTTCCATCTGATGTTGTTGAGCCGGGAACTACGTACCTCATAAAATTGAGCAAAAGATGCTGCCGTTGTTATGGCAACCACTTTCTACAGAGGCAGTGATTCTGTTTGTCATGGTGATGGCAAGGTGAGCAGGAAGTGTGGAGGGGGTGACGCTAGAGGGGTTACTATTGTGGGGACGAGGAGATGGATTTTCCAGAGCCCAGAGTGCTTGTGATCTAGAACAGAAAGAATAATAGAGGTCAAATATATTATGCCATATATTATTAGTGATGAACAGAAACCAAATATATTTGGAGGGCCAAAACTTTTGACCAAAATGATGACGCATAATTAGCACCTCTCCGAGCTATAACTGGTAAACATGTCCCCTGTGTAGACACTAGAGAACTGGGTTGACAATATCAATTTCACATTATCAATTAATTTTCATTTTGATAAACCAAAATCTTTTAGCCTATGTTGTTTTCAGTTGATGAGTGACCAAAACTTCACTAAACATTATACTCCATAGCTTGACAGGCAGCTAGAAAAAATAACTCAAGAAGCTAAATATATGCACTTTATTATAACATATTTATATTTTTGAACCTGTTGTCTTCATTATTTAATGTATGTTTGAATAAATCTCCCATGATAACTAGTTTTTCTTACAGTCACCATTCAAATGTTTATTAAATAAATTTGATTAAATAATTGATTATTAAACTATTGTCTGTTACAGTTATATCTTTCAGCAAAATGACATATGAAACTGGCCTATGCTTCTAGACTGCATACAGTATATAGAGTTTTTCTGCCTGTCACATGTGAGTGTGTCTAACCTGGGTGTGAGCAGAGAGTTGTTAAGTACAACACACTCCAGGTTCTGTGGGTTTGTCCGTATGGGGGATTTAGTACTCGTGGGGTGGCCTTGATAAACCAGGTTTTCCTGAACCACACCTCGGACCCGCTCCTTGACAGAAATCCCATAACCCCGCAACGCCTGAACACGATTCCTCAATACCTGCAGAACAAAAAACAGTTAAAAAAAAAACAACAACAGTATTTGTCGATCTCTAATATTAGTAGACAGGATGTGACGCAAACCCCATCGACCTCTGTATCCTCTCTGTGTGACTTTTTCAACGACGTGACAACTCACTTTAACATCTGCATTGTCCATCACTCGAATTCCAACAGCATTATTTCCGACCACATCGTTTTCCACAATCAGCCCATCGCCTCGGAAGCAGACACCGTGACAGTTATTGCCATAAACGCCATTGCCACGCAGCTCGACTCGACACTCTCTGTCCACAGTCACACCCGTCCAGCCATTACAGAGGACACAGTTTCCAACTAAACGTGTTAGCTGAGCGCTCTGAATGACAGACACGCCGGCTGCTTTGTTATTCTTCACCATGTTGGCCACCACGTTCAGAGGCTCACTGCTCTTCACATACACTCCAACAGCTGGAGAGACAGAGAGAAGAAGAAAGGAGACAGACGTGGCTGAGATGTCAATCCAATATGAACATATATGACAAAGGATACTTAGGATACTCTTGTTAATTTGTGGCTCCATAGTAATCAGATTCACAAAAGGCTTTTAATTCATCAAGTCATTTTCTTGATGCAAAAATCAGAAAATGCTAATTTTGTCATCGCTAACTAGTGAATAATGACAGACCACTCAAGGAGATGGTCCTCACTGCAGAACACAAGGTCCAGGGGGCGTGGTTGGATCCGGATCCAGATCCAACTCCTCCCACCTTACATCTACCTAAACCTACCCATCTCCACCCCCTGATCCATAAACCTACCCATCTCCACCCCTAAACCTACCAATCTCCACCCCTAAATCTACCAATCTCCACCCCTAAACCTACCCATCTCCACCCCTAATCCTACCAATCTCCACCCCCTAGATGTGGATCCAACCACGCCCCCTGGATCTTGTTTTCTGCAGTGAGGGGCTACTGCACTTATGGCATATTCAAACTGCTTGTGTTCCAATTAGCAGCAAAATTTAAATCCAACTTCTGCGTAATTTCAGCATCCCTGATGAGGTAAAAGAGATATGATATTTAACAGCAACTCACCTCCGTTGTGGCTAATGCAGTTGTTTTCCATTAGGGCCACTGTGATTGGCCGTCGGGAGGAAAAGCGTTCATCTTCGCTATCGATATCACTTTCCCATGCCATCAGTTCTCCTTCCTCATTGAAGTTCTCCGGCCCTCCTCTGTCCCTCTCTCCAACCCCGATTCCTCTCTCTCTTTCCTGTAAAGAGCGATAGCCCTCTCGGCCCACGGCAGAATCTGTGTCCTTCCGGCAGAATACGGCTAACCCATACATGCGGTTATGGGTAATATGATTTCCAATGAGCTGAGGTAGACTAGATGACATTACCCACACCCCACAGCCTCTGTTGCCTACAAAATACCAGGGAAAAACACAATTACACAATATCATAACCCAAAAAATTAACTCTTAACTTCTTTGTAACTTTGACTTTTTTCTCAAAATATTAAACTTGTAATTTTACCACATTATTTTCGAAATGCTTTTATCACTTGTCAAAGGTCTATTAGATCATTCTCAAAAAGTCTTCAGTTCAATTTTATTCTCATAAATATTAGTGTGGTACTAAAATGCCCCTTTTTTCTGCAACAACTCACATTTTTAAAATCAAATGGTCTTTTTGTTATAACACGTAAATATCATTCTAAAGCAGATTAGACTGTCTCAAAAAAGTGGTTGCGAAATGTAAAAGTGGCAAAGATAACGCTGTAAAAAGTAAAAAAAATAATAATTTTGATCAATTTCACGATTTTCAACCGTACTTCAGAAAGCAGAATGGAACAATATGAAATTAATTCATTAAATGAATGTAAATAATGTCATGACCAAGAAAATGACTTTTTTCTGACATTAATACTGTAATACTGCAATGTTACACTGTTGTAATTTTGACTTTATTCTCAAAATATTATTACTTTAATCTTGTAATTTAATCTTGTTACCACTTTATTCTCAAAAGGTCTTTAATTTTATAACTGTTATTTTAGTTTGGTATTCAAACAGACCTAAAAATACTTTATTCTGATGGTTTTTGTCATAATCAGCCTCACATTTTTAAAATTAGTTGGTTTTTGTGTTGGTTTTCAGTTGGTTTTTGTGTTAGTCCAAATGTCTATATACTGCACGCCAAACACGCTACATGTTTTGACTAGATATGATTTTGTCGCACTGAATTTTCCCTTTCAATGCAGATAGAAAATGACTTCTCACTGGAAAATTGCTGCATAGCACCTGACCGTCCACATAACTAATTTCTATAGCAAACACATTGGCAACAGACTGAAACAAATTCATGATAATATCTGCCAAATGCCTTAAATGTACAAATATGACAAACTATACACACCATATATGTGGTTGCCTTCAATGAGGCCCCTCCCTCTCTCTCCCACCACCACTCCGTCCGAGTAGCCATAACAGATGAAGTTATTGCGCAGGACTGGATCACCTCCTCGACGGATATCAGCACCACCCCACTGATTCTGCCTAATAACATTCTCTAGCAGAGACGAGAGAAGTAAAGCAGCGGTTAAAATTGATTTAGTGTAATTTAATTGGGCTGTTTCAAGAGCATGAGGAAACACTTGAAAAGGGCAAGGTCTGCTGTGCTTGAAGCGCCTATAAACAACTACATGGCAAATAGAAAATTGTACTGCAATCAAACGGACCACTGATCAGTCCTCTTCCATTCTCATTGATGGCAATGCCTGCTGCAAGGCCCTGGAAAATGTGATTTCCACTGTCATAAAGAGAGAACAGAAACAGAAATCATATTAGTTTCATGATAACAACAAATATATCTAATTTTGTTCTTGTTTTCCTGTTTTATTTGAATAAAACACAATAACCCCTGCATTACTGCATACCTGACAACAGGATTGCCATTAAAAAGAATGTACACGCCAGCTTCCTTGTTGCCGTAGATCTGGTTGCTGCGGATAGAACCTCTCCCGTTGCCCAGGACAACGATCCCGGAACGCAAGCCACTGTGGATTCTATTACACTGTAACCAGGAAAAAAGAAAGGGAAAGAAAAAACAGAATGTACCACAGAAAATTATATGGCATAGTGGAAATTCCAATATATTTTCTAGACTTCTTTCCACTGTACAAGTTCTCTTGATTAAACTAAAGAAAATGTTAGATTTTTTTGTTTTGGGTTTTCCATTAAAAATACAGAAACTTCCTTAAAACAACATGAATTTATTTAAAAGCAAACCTGTGTAAGATAATAAGATGTGTTCAGAGAAACACACATATATTTAAGGGATCTAAAATGTGGTCATGCAGATATGACCAAAGGCATTAATATGTGCTTTATAAGTACTAATAAACAGCCAATATGCATTTTTTTTCTTCTGTGCAGAATACTAAATGAAATGTGTACCAGTATGATAGGATTAGCCCCTTTGCGGATGTCTAGTCCCGCTTCTCCGTTAGAATGAATGTTGTTCTCAGCAATGAGACCTTGAGCAGAGAGTCGCAGGAACACACCAGATGCCTTGCACCCACACACTTCATTACGCAACATCACCATCTAAACAGAAAAAAAGATGCCCAGTATATCAAACAGAGACATGAGAAGATGATAAAAGAGAGGGGATGATCAGAAACATCTGCATTATAGAAAACATTTCATGACATTGTGTTCTTATTCTGCTGTGTGTAATTTTTGTGCTACCAGCTGCATTAAATGGAATTAAAAAATGACATGATAATAGGATGGTGTGGGTAATAGTCAGGGTGTTGCTAGCTACGCAGTTACTAAAGTGTTTTTAGTGGTTCATGTGTTTTACTATGCAGTTGCTAGGGTAGTCAGAGTGGTTGCTATGTGGTTGCTCACTGGCGCAAGCCAAAAGAGCCCACTGTTTTTCACTGTTTTAAGTGAAAATTCTAATTCCGATTGCTTCTCAACAACCTACAAAATTTGAGATACCATTCATATCTGCAGTACAAACTGTGCGGGAGAAGTTATGTATTACAACTTTGGTTTATGAGTTGCTCAAATCCAGATTAGACTGGCAATTATGAGCTTGGGGTGCACAATATTTAAACTCTGGCTGATACCAATAAGACAAAAATTATTTTCATGTTATGGCCAATAACAGATTAATTGCCAATGTTAAAATTCTATACTATTTTGTCTAAGTACATTAAAATAAAAAAAAACTGAATTAGTACAGTATGGAAATGAGTATTCGTTTTGACATTTGCTAAAGATTACATTAAACAGTGTTAGGTTAAGGTTAAAAATAAATTAATCTTTTTGTATTGTGTAATTTTTTAAAGATTAACTTCCAGTGAGTGCTAGATGGTGGAAAAGGTAATATGATAGTAAAAAAAAAAAAAAGTGGAAATAAGCATGCATAATTAAATACACAATATAAACCAAAACTACTGGCTGACTGATACTGATATATTGTGCATCTCTATTATGAGCAATAGTAAATAGCGAAAAGTGTTTCCCAAACGCTGTAGAGCTGCATTATTTTTACATTTCGGGGACATCAGCCAACTAAAGTCTTACTTATAGTAGTCTCTGCACATTAAACTTGTAAATGGTATTTTAACGTGGACAAAATTACACACATCAGCTTTAAAGGGCATTAAGATGCAGGTTTTACTCACTTTGGCATTCTGGATGCAGCGCACTGCATAGTTGAGTCCCCTGAACAAATTGGCCTCCAGTCGAGCTTGACCGTGATTGCACAGGTGAACACCACCTTTTCCATCACGCAGCAGACAGCGCCGCAGCAGACAGCCATGAACCGATGCAGCCAAATCCTGCGCCTCTGCATCCCTCTGTAGCTCTGCAGACAGACTCAACAGCGCAGGAAATGCAGAAGAATCGGGCATATCCACTTTGGAGAGATGCGCTAGTCCGTGTTGGTCATATGAAAGTTTTAAGCCTGTGCTTTTCTCGCCATCTTGCTCGTCACCTTCCTCACTTGACTCACTCGATGTTTCCATGCCATTCTCCTCAATCATTGTACCATCCTGACCTGGAAGGAGGATGTCTCCACCTTTCTGTTTTGCCCAGTTTGTTTCCAAATCTACTTCCTGTTTACTCCAGTCCTCCATTGTGTTTACTCCTTCCAAGGGAGTGTTTCCATGACTACCAGCACCCATACTGTCTTTTCCACTCTGATTTGATATTTCAGTTGACCCATTACTAGTCATCATGGTGAAGGTCTTGGCCAAGGCAACCAGGTGTTTGAAGGCCCAGTTGCGTTCAGAGACCGGAGCACCTTCCACAGTGACAGAGGCAGAATCTCCCCCTGAGAATTCACAACTGTCCATTAAACTGATGGCCACCCCCAGGAAATGGGCTGAGCTGCCCTGAGCGAAGGAGCAAAAACGAGCCTGACACGTCCCTGGACCCCGGATGTGAATCTGACAGCCCTCAAAATTACAGTTGTCCAACTGGACATGACCAGAAGACGTCTAATAAAGAGAGAAAATATTTCAGCACTATAGAAAAACTGACAGTGTCTCAGTAAGAATCCGATTATGTTGATACCATTTAAAATTGCTTCAATAACAATTTACTGACACTATTTTCTGTATAAAGAATGTTACAGAGTAGCAAGAACACATGGAGCTAATATTATTCAAGCATCAGTTAAAAGAGATGATGAGAAACAATATGTTTAATGTTGGAAAACCATGTCCTACATGGGGAGGGAGGGATGAAGAGATATACAGACAGCCAGAATGACAGAGATAGATAGATAGATAGATAGATAGACCCTTCGCAAAGACCCACCCCCCTTCGTTACCATTGCCACGACCGACAAGCCATGGCACTCTCACGATACACATGTTCTCACGCAGTGAAAAATACATCGTGGGGCAAAGAGGAAACTGACAACACGCCAACAGACAAGACGGAGCAGGTTACTTTAGGTATAAAACAAAGTCTCAGTTTTCAAATCTTGTAATTTTTTATGTATCTTTAACGTGTCATGACAGATTGCTATAGCGCAGTTCATGTGGCATGTTGTGAACCGATCATTTCTTCCTCTTTACTAGTTATAGCACGAAATAAACATGAGTGAACATCAGAAGTAGTGGTCGACCAATATGGGTTTTTTGACAGCCGATGCCGATATCTTGGAAAGTAGGGTGGCCGATGGCCGATATAAAGCCGATATAATTTTATTTATTTTAATTAATATTTAAGAAATTTGAAATAATTTGAAAATGGATTAAAAATAATTGTGTAAAATAAACATATATACACTTTAGAAGACAAAGCATTTTTCACAATAATTGAAAAGAAAGTAAACACTGTACAGGGCACTCAGTATTCTGGGAAGTTTGTGTGCATTGGGAATCTTTTTTTTTTTCCAAATAAGCCAAGGTAACACTCATTTTTCATACAGCACGGAATGCAAATGACATGAATATGACATTGGGCAAAAGCATGAAGCCAGCATAATTTGAAATCACGAGTTTAAAGTTTGTCGATCG